GCTCGGGGCCGCGTCGCAGTCGGTGCTGCCCGTCCGGGGGCTGCTCGGGGCCGGGGTTCTCCCCCCGGCGGGGGAAGGGCAGAGCGATGCGGCGGCTGCCATGGCTGCGGCGCCTTACCGGGGCCGGGCGGCTCCTCGCCGCGCGCGGGGCTCGGTGCCGGCCCCTTTCCCTCGGCCAGGACTCCCCGGCTGGGATTTCAAGGGCGTTTTCTCCTTGGCGGCATCTCTGAGATGCTCCCGGCCGCCGACACCCGGGGGGGCATTCACCCTGCCGCTGCAGCCGCCCGGACGGGCCGGAGCATCCTTGCACCAGGCTCAGGTCTTGCTCCAGGGATCAGACCCCAGCGCCCGGCTGCAGCCCCTGCCCCGCTGGACGGGCCTGAGCTCGGTGGGGCGTGTGGGGCAGCCCCCCTCCGCTGGGTGTGTTCCCGTCTTTGAGCGCACAGGCCATCGCACTCATCCCCTGCAGCCATCCCTTCCCTGCTCCGTGGCTGCCACAAGGTCACTGCCATCCCTCTTGTCCCGTCTGTTGCTCTCCAGATTTGTGCTGCCGAGTTCTCCCTTGCCAACTGAAAGGGAGTTTGGTGTTTGCAGGGAGCTGGATGGTCTGAAGAGAGGAGCTGTGGGGCTCTCTGGGGAGCCCTGGCAGTACTAGTGAGCAACGTCATGCTGTCTCCTAAGAAAAGCCTTCTCTGCAACCTCAACCACATCCATCTGCAGCACATCTCCCTGGGGCTGCACCTCTCCCGGCACCCAGAGCTCCAAGAGACCTCTGCCTCCATGGGTGGAGGGGACCAGATTGGCTGCAGTGACTGCCCGGAGAACTGTGAGCAAGTGGATGCCAATTCCAACAATCCCTCCTTGAAATGCCGGTGTTGTGAGTCCCACACGCAGCAGCCGGTGACGTTGGGTCTCCAGAAGCAGACAGCTCAAGAGGGCTTCCCCTACCTGCATGCTGAGGAGGAGGTGGCTTCCCCTTGTGATCCCCCTTGTGATCTGGCTTCCTCCTCCTCCTCCTCCTCCTCCTCTGTCAGTAGCTGCTCGGATTTCAGCTTGGACGACTCCCCCATCTCTGTTTACTGCAAGGGGTTCTCCAGAGAAGAGTCCGAATCCCCTGAAAATCAGCCCAACGTCATTCCCATAGGAGACACCCAGTCACTAACTGACCAGGGGAGGACGTGTGATGGAAGAGATGCCAACCTCAACCCCACAGTGCTTCAGAGATCGGACACCTTGGCTGGAGAGAGCCCAGACAGCCTCTGCAGCAGCACCTTGCTTGACTCCCAGTGCGATGAGACCTCTCCCAGCGCCGTGCCACAGGGGACCACCAGCGTCTGCATCGACCTCGACCCTAACTGCAACTCCCTTCCCAATCCTGATGCTGTGCCTCCGGCACCGCCGGCACCAGGACAGTGGGATCCCAGTCTGAGCAGAGTTCCTGAGCCACAGCCCCGGGCTGGCAGTGTCCCCCCACCCGTGCCCCCTCGGCCCCGGAGACGGCTGCAGGTTCTCAATGCGCAGAGAGCAGAGCAGCTGCTGCTGCCCACGGAGCCAGAGCCCAGCTCAGGCGACATCTGCAGAGACGCAGGCAAGAAGACCATCACCTCCTTCCATGAGCTTGCCCAGAAGAGGAAGAAGAACACTGCTGGGCCCGCTCTGGCCCAGGCCAGGGCTGACCGGAGCGACTGGCTGATCGTATTCTCGCCTGACACGGAGCTGCCGCCCTCCAGCGAGCTGCTCTCCGGCGCCGTGGGCCAGGAGCCAGCGCGGCCCCAGCCCCAGCACGACTGGCTGGTAAAACCCCCCAGCTCCAGGCAGAGAGAGGTGACCACCTTCAAGGAGCTGCGGTACCGCAGTGCCTCCAACAAGCCCAGGGGCCAGCCAGCCGGCGAGCGGGCAGAGCCGGTGCCACCTCAGCACCTCCCTGCACCAGCCTCTGGTGGTGACGGCGCAGGCTGGGTGCCACCTGTGCCACTGGGTGCACACTTGCTGGCACCCATGGAAAGTCAGCAGGCGAAGAGGAGGCGATCCCGGCCAGGACTGCAGCCCATCGCGGAGGCGCAGCCGGGGGCTGCGGAGGAGGGGGGGCTGCCAGCCTGGAGCTGCCCCTTGGGAGAGACGGGGCTGGGATCCCTCCGTGACAAAGACACCCTGGTGCTTGGGAGGGTCGGGGGAGCCGGGGGGGACCCCCGGGTGCTGGGGTCAGCCGAGAGAGGAGAGGAGCCCCGCAGGGAGGGTAAGAGTCGGGGTGCCCCGGGGGGGAGGGTCACCCTTCAGGGGACGCAGGGGGTTGCGGGGGT